GCAAGAATGAGAATATGGAGATATATACATATATATATATACACAAATTATATATATGTATACATTCTCATTCTTGCAACGTGTCGATATCAGTCAATAAACTGACTCAGATCAGATATTCAACATCTTTTCTTGGTTGCAGGTTCATCAACAAGAGTTTGATTGGTCTCATTTCACGTTGCTTTTTCCACATCAGAACCAAAGATTACTGAAAAATCAAAGAAGTCTGCCCTAATTTAAGTATTTATTATTATGAGAAACAGTAAAAAATTTTATATTTACAATATCATCCTAGGGGGCCAGATAAGATGCTAACGAGGACCAGATTTGGCCCACTGGCCATGATTTTGACACGTGTTATAGATGTATTCTTACTTTCTCAGAGTTTAACTAAAATCTGATGGTTCACGACATATTTTGGAAACAGACACAAATACACACAGACGGCCGAAAAAAATCGTCAACACTCTTTAGCCTTTTAGTAACGGGTGGTAGTATAAAAAAGAGACACACTGCTTAACTCTAGCAGCCATTGGATGAGAGGCGGGGGACACCCTGGACAGGTAGCCCGTCCATCACAGGGACACAAGAAGACAAGAACTATTCACACTCAACTTAATGCACCCAAATAAACTAAAACGAACGTTTGTATCGAAGGAGGGAACCAGAACACCCTGAGAAAACCTATGGGAGTCAACACGTCCTTGTTTCTGCTCCACCTCAGCTAAAACATTTGCAGCGTTCAAGTTCCACCAGCAGAGCGCAGCCTGCTCCTGCACATCAAATGCAGCCATCTTTAACCCCCCCCCAAAGCCTTCAGCTTGAGCAAGTTAAGAAAAGCTCCTTAATGTCTTCACACACAAGCCGCTCAGATCTGTCCCATCATGCAGCTGCAGGCTGTTAGCTCTCCTCCCACTGACAGGAACCCTCACGTCAAAGTGTCTGAGTGCACGTCGTCCCTTCGGCTCACTGGAGTTTAATCTTTGACCCGTGGTGTTCTTCCTGTAGGCTGCTCCGTCCCATTGTTGCAGGCTTTATTTTGCAGGGGTTGCCATGGTGACCCAGTCCCATGACAGCCCTGCAACCTGAAGCTGCCAGTCAGGTCCGGCAGGTAACTGTGACGGCGACTGCTGAGGCAGGTGGGCGAGAATAAAAGGAAACGAAGACTTTAGAACCAAGTTTTAGACGCTGATCAATGATTGACTGAGTGAGATGAGAAAGTAATTCAAGATGGAGGACGGCAGAGAGACTCAAGACCCGGAGGCCTCGGAGGCCCTGGAGCACGAGGATGACGGGACGTTTACAACGATCTCTCTAGACGACTCAGGTACTGCAGCTGCTCTTTATGTACATATTTATTATAAAACTATGTTTCTGCCTGTCTGTCTGTTAGCAAAATATCTCATGAACTACAGGCCGACTTTGAGCAAAACTCAAAGGAAGTAATGAATGAACGTATCTACAACTTATTTGGAGTCAACTCCCTTCAAGATGGCTGCCACAGCTAATCAACCTCACCAAACACAAGAAATAGCGATAATTCAAACAGTTTTATAGATGCTGAGCTAAAACTTGTTGTGGTAGTACCTGAGAGTCATTCCCAGCATGTAGTCTGAGCACTAACTGGTTTTGCAAGATCCGTTTTTAAAACTTTGCCATTAAATATTGGAGTCAAATTTGTCTGGTGTTAGCAAAATATCTCATGAAAAACCAGACGGACTGTGACGACACTTAGGAAATAATGATCAGACGTACATCTTCAACTGATGAACTTTTGGAGTTTCCACGCAGCCTGAGCTTATTGACAACCGAAACATTGATATAACAGCAAATTTTACAAACTCAAATTGGTATAAAAGTAGCTGAGAGTCATTCACAATAAATGCACATAGTTGGTGTCAATATTGTTAACAAAATATCTCGGTTACTACCACACACACACACAAACGCATGTTCTTATACTTTTTGGGGACTTTGCATTGACTTCCATTCATTTTCTATAGCCTGACCCTAAACCTTTGGTCTCCATAAAGTGCAGCTGGTTCCCACAATGCATTATTTTTTGTAAAATTGGTCCCTACAAGAGAACCTGAAACAAAAACACACAAGTTTTTTGGGGGTTGGTCGTCTGTGGCAACTTGACTCACGTTGACTCTAAATGTTCAGTTACAGGCATTTATCCAGTGATGAGCTTCATAAAAATTTGTCCACTGGTTTATAAAATATTTTGCTAACAGACATGCATGGGCAAGTGCAACAACAATTATCGTCCTCGTTTGCCATTGACCCGTCAAGCGATAATTAACTTGCATGATAAAAGTCAACGTGTTCAGCTCACAAGGGATCACTGAAAAGAGAAGATCAGCTTTTTTTTTTTTTAATCTTTATTGAAAAAGTACAAAACAATACAATAAAATGCAGTATAAAGTAATGATATAACAGACGCCAGGGGGTTACAAACACTGAGACAATAATTTACAATAACATATTACATAAATATACTGAAGAGAGCACATAAGGTGCAAGTTTTTATGGCTTTTGTGTTGGTGGAGTATTTAATAGTTTTGATGTATTGTTTGACCTCCTTTTCAAAAATGGAGATAAGAGGTTTTTGATTAGTGTATCGACATTTATGAATATGCCATTTGGCTAGGTATATAATGAGATTAATAATATAGAACTGTTTTTCTTTAGCTGTTGGGTCAGTGAAGCCAAACAGAACATGTTCAAAGCAAAGTAAAAGATCTGGTTCTATAAAAGTAGAAATCAAAATACAAATAAAATTGAGTCGAGAACGGGCAAGACCAAAATAAATGAAAGCCATCTTCTGGGTTTTCATCACAAAAAGAGCAAATTATATTTATATCCTTGTTAAACTGTTGTAAATAAACTTTGGATGGGTAAAATCTATGAATAATCTTGAATGATACTTCTCTTACTTTATTATTTATCATGTATCTGGTTGGTAAAGTCCAAATCCTTTTCCAGTTAAGGTTATTAATAAAGGTGTTCCAATAAGGTGCCACATATGGAGTTGACACAACATCTTTCTGAAAGAGTGAACGGATACGACGGTCGCTGTTACGGGTTGAGGCGAAGCAGATTTGACCAATTTCAATTTTGGTTGGATCAAATGGTAACAGTGTTGGATTCTGTCCTGCTGTATTTCTAAATAAAACAATTACTCCAGTAGGGACTGCTTTTATTACAATATTAAATTCGTTAATAGGGGTCATAATGTTATATTTTATGACAAATTCTTGATATGACATTAATGATCCATCAGTGTTGAGCAACTGATGGAACTAAAACTATGTTGTGAATAAACCAATTAGGGTAAAATAAGGATTTGTTTTTATGCAAGATGTCTCTATTGTTCCAAATATAATATCTGTGTGGAGATAAATTATGTTTGTAAATCAAAGATCTGCTTTGAAGACCAGATTATTCCATAACCTGACTTCTCATTTATGTTTTGCGGAACGATGTCTATTATATGTTCAGTTGGCCTGCCTTACTAGAAAACGCCCACTTGCTTGCAGTGCTTCTTCTTCTTCTCTTCCATTGAATTGTATTTATTTTGTCCTGCGCCCCCTAGCGGCCGCTGCGGCAGCGCACACAAAAGAGCAACTTCGTTACATCAAAGTCCTCATCATCATCTTCATCCAGTCTCTTTAAAGGGTAACAGCCATAAACGGAAAGGACCTGTTTTCTTTTTACAGTAGGTGGGTAAACTCCGACGTCCTCTGTTTATTTCAGGATGTAGTAAAGAATATAATCATAGCCGGATAAAAAAAAACAAACAAACATATTTGGAGATTAATGCAAGCTAGGCCATTAGCTAAAATTAGCTTGTAATAGCATGTTTGCCTCCAACGTCCGATGCTTTAAATGTATTGAAAAAGCCCTCGGTTTAAAATGTAAGTCGTACAAAATGAGTTGATTTTTGTTGCCATTGCTGTGAAATTAGCTTTGCGTTTTGAGCGCAGGAAGTCGTTAGCGTAGCTCCGCTAGCGGCTAAGCTATGTAGCATACGTCTATTATCGGACACGTTTGTTTAGCTTCGTAATCATTTTAAAAGTCCCGTCGCAGCGAGTGGCTCACGGGGGAACGGAAGCGACGCTTGTTTGTCGTAAACAAGCTGTTGCACTTTAGAGCTTCTCGTTCGTTAAATTGGTGACTTATGACGAGGTCGTGATTTAGAAATGAACCGAACAGACGCAAGCGGCGCATCACACGACGGACTGGGCGGTGTCTTCGTCCATCACACGCACACACGCGCACTGTCCTGTTTACCGTCGGTTTCTTGGTTAAAAACAGCTTTCTGACCAGAAATGAGTTGCATAATCTAAGGCTTATTAATACGTATTAATCACTGACTCTTCAGACATTTATATTTTACCCCCCATCTCTCGAAAAATTCACATTTATCTACAAGCAGCCAAAAAATGGATTATAAAACACCAAGTATAGGATCTTTAGGTCTACAGGAAACTAGTTTTGTAAAACTTGGTCAGCAGCATGTTTAGCCTGAATTGTTGTTGCAAATGGATAACTAATGCAAGTTGTTGAGGCTCCTTATTAAACTAGTTGTTAGTAGATCTCAACCAGCACAAGTCTCTTCCAGCTGTTCCAGCTGTGCTCAAGACCAGTCACCATATTCCTTTGTTTCGCGTTGAAGGAGAAACTTTCATGTAATCCTTCACTGCTTCTGGCTTTTCGGAGATATTTCAAATGTTTTCTTTTGCCTTTTGTTGCTTTTTCATCCATCATCTTTGGGTCGCTGGTGCCCGTGTCCTGCGATCACTGCGAGAAGCGACGGGTCAAGTCCATCACAGGGACAAGATGTTTTTGTACTTCAGCATTTTCATAAGAACTCATACCAGCAGGAAAAGCTGCCTCATCAATACAATTTTTTTTTGTAAAGATTAAATTTTAAATTGGATTGTGTAAGGCACTTTTCTTTAATGTTGCATCATTTCAAAAGCCTGCTTTAACAAGGTTTAAAAATATAGTTTTTGCTCCAACAAAGTGATTTCCAGGAAGCCTTTAGTTGGATAATTAAACAAGATTACCTGTTGTCTATTTATTTTAAAAAATAAGGGACAATTGTATTAGACCTGACCCCAAACCTAAGATGGATCAAACCATATTGATTTAACTAAACTGCTTTTGTTGTTTTGACGCAACTCTGGTTTATCCTTTTGTGTTAATGAGCATTTTTTGATAAATTCAAAGGTCAGTTATTTGGTTTAAACACACCAACACTGTGATGTCGTGTTTGTTCACCTGTATGTTTTTGTTCTCATGAAGCGGACGTCGGATCTGCAGCCCTGTATACCAAACAGGAAAACACACTTTTCATCATGAACTGCGACATAGACGGTACGTCTTGTCCACGCGAAGTATCATCGACGTCATTTGAAATGTGTAAAAGTAATGTTGCATGTTTCAGGAGACATGGAGAACCAGGTGGAGATGGAGGAGAAGACGAGGTTGATAAATCAAGTTTTGGAACTTCAGCACACACTAGAAGGTAACAAGCTTTCAAACAATAACCAAGTTTAATTCCTTCCCAGTAAGAACCAGATAATTAATGCCTTCAAATCTAAAACAAAGACAAGCTTTTCAAATAAAATCTGGATTTCGTCATCGAGGGACTCTTTAAAAAGTTAAAATTTATCAAAGAAACCTGACACAGGGATGCAGACGCCTAAACATCATCCAAACTATTCTTTTCTTCTCGAGTCACATTGTGTGACTAAATGTTTCCTTCTGCTTCTGACCTTTATCCCTTTTTTATTTTTCGATCTCTGCAAACGTCAGTGGAGTCGCCCTTTTATCCTCCAGTTTCTGCCACCTACTCCACAGAGAACATTTGGGGGCCTAAAGGTTTTGAAAAAGAAAGGAAGTTTAGTAAAAACTGATTCAAACGGAGACAAACTGCACTTAAAATGTGCAAAAAGTTCGTCATCTTTTAATGAACCTGATATAAACTGAAAGGTTCGTAGGATAAAACACTTTAATCCTGTAAGTAAAATTAATAATTACCTCTATTGGCAGCGGGGAACTATCAGGAACAGTAAAAAAATCTTGTAAGACTAAGAATGGGGCAGACAGGATTCACCCGAGGTGGTTTAGGCTTCTAGTGCTTCCTGAACGTCCCTTTGGAGTTTTTTGGACGTTTTACTGGGAGGAGACCCACGTCCTCGGTCTCCCAAGAGGAGTTTGAGGTTATGGAGAAATATCTGGGACAAGTAAACCAAAATCAGACGAGACGAATCAGAACCTTGAACATCGTAGTGTTACTCGAGACAAACTACAGTGAAAATGGTTCAAAAGAGCTTTGGTTAAAGTAAAATGGTTAAAAAAATTAAGGTTTTGTCTGTTGTCACCGATTCTGTTCATAACTTTTATGGACGGCATTTTTTTAGTGTAGCCAGGGAAGCGAGGGAGTCCGGTTCAGTGCCTCGGGATTCTGTCTGCTCTTTGCAGATGATCTGGTCCTGTTGGCGTCATCGTGCCGTGATCTCCAGCTCCTATTGAAGCGGTTCGCAGCCGAGTGCGAAGCAAGTGGGATGAGGATCAGCACCTCCAAACCTGAAGCCATGGTCTTCAGCTGGAAAAGGGTGGATTGCTCTCTGTGGGTTGAGGCCGAGGTTCTGCCTCAAGTGGAAGACTTCAAGTATCTTAGGATTTTGTTCATAAATGAGGGAAGAATGGAGCGGGAGATGGTTCGGTGGATCGGTTCAGCTTCTGCATTACGTCAGACTTGATTGTGGGAAGAGGGAGAAGCTCTCCATTTACCAGTCGGGCTACGTTCCTACCTTCACCAAAAGAACGAGATTCTGGATACAGACGATCGAAATGAGTTTGTTCTTCAGGGTAGCTGGACTCTCCCGTAGAGATAGAGAAGTTAATGTCCCCATGACGCCTCCCTAGGGAGGTGTTTCAGGCATGTCCAACTGGGAGGAGACTCTGGTGAAGACCTAGGACACGCTGAAGTGACATCAATCCATCCATTATCTTTTACCCGCTTCTTCCATTTTGGGTCATGGGGGTCGCCGGTGCCCATGTCCGGCAATCGTGCGAGGGGTGGGGTACACCCTGGACAGGTCGCAAGTCCATCACAGGGACACGGAGACAACCATTCACGCTCTCACCCACACCTAGGGACAATTTAGTTACCAATCAGTCTAACATGCATGCTTTTGGTCTGTGGGAGGAAACCCACACAAGCACGAGAAGAACATGCAAACTCCACACAGAAAGACCCCAGGCCCAACCAGGGATTGAACCCAGGACCTTCTTGCTGTGAGACAACAGCGCTAACCGCTGTCCCTCAGTTGGCCTGGGAACACCTTGGAGTCCTCGCAGAAGAGGTTGCTGGACCTCCCTTCTCAAGCTGCTGCCCCCGATATGACTCTGGAACAAGAGGGTGGATGGATGGATGGATGTACAGATGGATGAACAAATGGATGTACAAACCGGATCCAAAAATGTTGGGACACTAAACAAATTGTGAATAAAAACTGAATGCAAGGATGTGGAGGTGCCAACATCTAATATTTTATTCAGAATAGAACACAAATCACAGATGAAAAGTTTAAACTGAGAGAATGTATCATTTTAAGGGAAAAATCTGTTGTTTCCAAATTTCATGGCGTCAACAAATCCCAAAAAAGTTGGGACAAGTCCATTTTTACCACTGTGTGGCATCCCCCCTTCTTCTTACAACACTCAACAGACGTCTGGGGACAGAGGAGACCAGTTTCTCAAGTTTAGAAATATGAATGCTCTCCCATTCATGTCTAATACAGGCCTCTAACTGTTCAATCGTCTTGGGCCTTCTTTGTCGCACCTTCCTCTTTATGATGCGCCAAATGTTCTCTATAGGTGAAAGATCTGGACTGCAGGCTGGCCATTTCAGTACCCGGATCCTTCTCCTACGTAGCCATGATGTTGTGATTGCTGCAGAATGTGGTCTGGCATTATCGTGTTGAAAAATGCAGGGTCTTCCCTGAAAGAGATGACGTCTAGATGGGAGCATATGTTGTTCTAGAACCTGAACATAGTTCTCTGCATTAATGGTGCCTTTCCAGACATGCAAGCTGCCCATGCCACAAGCGCTCATGCAACCCCATACCATCAGAGATGCAGGCTTCTGAACGGAGCGTTGATAACAACTTGGGCTATCCTTGTCCTCTCTGGTCCGGATGACATGATGTCCCAGTGTTCCATAAAGAACTTCAAATCGTGACTCATCTGACCACAGAACAGTCTTCCATTTTGCCACACTCCATTTTAAATGACCCCTGGCCCAGTGCAAACGTCTGAGCTTGTGGAGCTTGCTTAGAAATGGCTTCCTCTTTGCACTGTAGAGTTTCAGCTGGCAACGGCAGATGGCACGGTGGATTGTGTTCACTGACAATGCTTTCTGGAAGTATTCCTGAGCCCATTCTGTTATTTCCTTGACAGTGGCATTCCTGTTTGAGGTGCAGTGACTTTTAAGGGCCCGGAGATCACGAGCATCCAGTAGAGTTTTACGGCCTTGACCCTTACGCACAGCGATTGTTCCAGATTCTCTGAATCTTTTGATGATGTTATGCACGGTTGATGATGATAACTTAAAAGTCTTTGCTATTTTACGCTGGGTAACACCATTCTGGTATTGCTGCACTATCTTTCTGCGCAACAATGGTGGAAATGGTGATCCTCTTACCATATTTTGTGCAACATCTACAAGAAAATAGATCAGTGGTTAAATGTTCAACCCTTGTTGTTTTTCTGTTTCAGACTTGTCAGCGCGAGTCGACGCCGTCAAGGAGGAGAACTTGAAGCTCAAGTCGGAGAACCAGGTCTTGGGTCAGTACATCGAGAACCTGATGTCGGCCTCTAGTGTCTTCCAGACCACCGACACCAAGAGCAAACGGAAGTGATCGGGTCCCGAAGGAAACTCGACGTCCGGGATCAGCAGGTGTGAAAAGAACCAACCTCTGAGATGTCGCGGAGGTGGTTTTGGTTTCTCAGCAGAACTTTTGAGTTTTTTGTAACCCGAGTAGGAACTAAAAACATGTAAATATGAATTAAAACAAATTAATGTTTGTAAATTATTTCACAGCTGCTTTTTCTGTTTTAAGAAAATTTTGTTTTCCTGTGAACTTCAAATATTATTTTTGTCTGTAACACTTGCGTTATGTTAAAATATCAAACAATTTTTTGACCATAGACCCTGCTTACAACCGTCTTATTTATTTTGTAAAGTATTTTGTGGATCAAATACTTGGGTTGATCTTGGATCTCATGGCTGTCACGCTCGACTGTATTCCTACAATTAGAGGCCGATAATCTGAACAGTGTTTAGTAGAATGAAAACTGTAAACCTTGTGACTGAAACCTGAAGTGTTTATAATGCAGGTTTGCAAATCTAATAAAACGTCAACCATTCACTCACTAAACTGTATCAGACTCTGATCTTCTTGGCAGCATTAGAGGGGCCTTCATTGTGTGGAGCCCGGCTGGTTTCTCAGACCTCGATAAGTGATGGAGGAGGGGAAGCAACAGGTCAATGAGGGGAAAAAACGAGCCGCTTTCAGCGAGAAGAGAAGCAGCAAAAAGGCCTTGAGTGATATCGATCCAGCTTCAGTTTGCAGCACAGAAAGGGACGTCTGCGAAACCCGCTGCCTCAGATAAAATAGATGGAGGATGCGGTTGGAACCAGTTTAACGCACGCCGTCATTTACTGGGGGTTTTCGATTATTTTTAACAAATCTTGTGTGCAGACAAACTAGAGGTGCATCGATTAGTTTATAAATTTGATTTCTCTTAAGTAAAACAACAAACCCTGATTTTGCACTACAAACATTTTTAGAAACCACTGAATAAACGTAACATTTTATTGTTTTCACAACAAAAGAGTTGAGAAAGAATTGTTGCACTTTCTCCGTTACTGAAAATCTTAAAAATTAAATTCATGTTACTGAAACCCTGTCTACACGGCTCCGGAGATTATAAAAAAAAAAAGAAGGAAATTTTTCTTGCTGTGTTTGCACCTCCGGTTCAGTTTTTGGTGAAAAACTTCTAAAATTAAAAAAAAGTAAACATTTTTGATGTATCCGACCTAGATCATCGATATAACAAAAAAAAAAAGATTGGAAGTTGATGTCAAAGTATGGGCACTCCCTTGTGGCTGGCTTCAATGCAACTTTTAAGTCCCGCCCCTACTATCAGATACATGAGGGGCGGAGCTTAAATTGTACTGGAGCAAGACACGGAGGCTGACCCCAGTTCAACTTAAGTCCTGCCCCTACTATCAGATACATGAGGGGCGGAGCTTAATTGTACTGGAGCGAGACACAAGGAGGCTGACCCTAGTTTAACTTTTAAGTCACGCCCCTACTATCAGATACATGAGGGGCGGAGCTAACAAATTGCACTGGAGCGAGACACAAGGAGGCTGACCCTAGTTTAACTTTTAAGTCACGCCCCTACTATCAGATACATGAGGGGCGGAGCTTACAAATTGTATTGGAGCGAGACACAAGGAGGCTGACCCCAGTTCAACTTAAGTCCTGCCCCTACTATCAGATACATGAGGGGCGGAGCTAACAAATTGTACTGGAGCGAGACACAAGGAGGCTGACCCTAGTTTAACTTTTAAGTCACGTCCCTACTATCAGATACATGAGGGGGCGGGACTTAAATTTTACAAATTTGAAGTCCTGCACCGTCCATGAATGGAACATTTTGCCATAAAAAAAATACACTTTATGAAATGCTTGATTCATTTTATTTTTTGTATTAAATAATTTTATTTCCAAGAGCAATGTACAATTTGCAAAAGCAAACGGGAATAAGTGCCACCATCTGGCAAGACCTACAAAACCTTCAGGAAAAAAAACAACAAACAAAAAAATTCCCACGCAAATAAAACAAATGAGCTCTGAATCTGTGAAACTGTTGTGTTCTGGTTGAGATGTTTTAGTTTCCAGTAGAAAGTCACTTGTTCTGTCCTTCAACTGCTGAGCAAGGCAGTAAAAAGCACCTGCTTTTTCTGATGTCAGTTTTATTCATTTCACAAATCTTGTCTAAAAATAAGCACATCAGTGGCACATAGTTTTAAACGACTGCCTCAAGTCTCGAAACACTTTATATCAAACTTTCACTCATACCGGCATAAAGACGAAAGCAAAACCAATAAATAAAATTCTTAGCGCTAATTCTCATCTTGTTTGGACGGTGTAAAAAAAGCTGGAAAAAGATAACTACCTAAAATCTAAACATGAAACGGTTACGTTGAACTTGGTTTTTTTTTGTTTCCTGCTTTCGCTGCAGTAACGTTTTCTCACGGCTCGGCATCCTGTCCCGTTCTGAAAACAACAGTCTCAAACAACAGAGGAACTTTGTCAAACTGTCTTCGAGCTCGTTCCTCGAAAAGGGGACGAGAAAACTACCGTAACTTGTGGCACGCCGCCCGGCCTGTGATATGCAGCGAGACGACGAGAGAAGCAGCTCTTCTGCTGCCGACGGGAGACGGACAGATCGAAGAGAGGAGAAAAGAAAAGAGGCCTGCCTTTCAGGCTGACAGGTTTCCTGACAGCTTCTAGAGCAGAAGGTGGAGGAGGGTGGAGCTGAATGCATAAATCTCCAGGGAGGTGGATGGAAATGAGCAGACGGAAAGAGCGGATGTGGTCTACGAGGCTGCAAACCTGGACGGGTGGAGCCGAGGTGTGGGTCGTAGTGAGGACGGAGGAAAATGTGCTCCTTCCTCCCTGATGGAGGAGGAAAGGGCAGCAACAGAGAAGACCCTTCATGGAGGGAGGGGGAGCAAACGGGTGCAGGACGCTCCTCCTCAGTCTTTCCTTACCCTCCTCTTCCTCACAGCTTGTTTGTGGCTCTCTTCAGCAACGTCTCCTTCACCCTTGGGTGGCAGAAAGATCAAAAAGGAGGAGTTTAAATTAATACATTTGTCTAAAGCGGGGGCGCCCAGATGTTTTCATCATGCAGCTGCTTTTAAAATGACCCGAGTCGAAGCGATCAACCTGCTGCAAGACGCCGCTTACACGAGAACAACCTCTGGAAACATCTGGTTTTTTTCAATGTTACGAACAAAAAAACGAGCAGGTTTATACGACAACGCTGTAGTTTCTCTGTCAGAAACTAAATTAATCCTTACTTTTAACTCGTAAGGCGTCTTAAGTATTTAGAAAAGCGTTATACAAATAAAATGCATTATTATTATTAAAGGCTGAGTATTTGGTGACGATTTGCTGATTTGCTGTTGCGTCTCACTGAATCCTGATTTGGACCAGGCGAGCCGTGCGGCCTCACTTTTCAGTCTTATTCTCTATTTTTGTGTTCCCAGCTTGAAACAAAAACAAAGTTTTCTAGGTAGTGCACATTATTTTATTACCCATCAACACGCATGTTTGTGTCTTGGAACAGCTTTGTACCCACCTCAGTGACCGCCCCCAGGTTAAATTTAATCTGCTGGAGCTTGAAATGGGAATAAAAGGCCGATTTGGACCAGTTTATTTTAACATGACCATCCTGTGGTTTTCAGACCTGGACATTCAGCGATGGTTCCTGTTAAAGGAGATGCCCCACGCAGGACTCGAGATACAGCTGTACGATACATGGAAACTAAATAGAGACGGTTTGTTCAAGAGTCTCTGCCTGGACAGCAGCGCCTCTCTGGTAAACAGCGTTCGTGACGGAGTCTCAAATTGTTTACGGTGATTTTTTTATTTATTTTTGTTAGTTGCAGAGGCCTTCTTATCTTAGCATTATTTTATTTTATATTTTTTATATCGGCTGCTCAGAATAGTTCCACACGGCTCAGACTGCAACAGAAAATCTGCTTATCTCAACTTTGTTTCAGTTTCAGCTGGGTGAGATACCACCTCAGAGGACTGGAACTTAAAAATAACGTCTAAGAACACACTTTCACCGTCTGCACAGACGGAAGCACCAGCTCCGGTTGTTTTGCGGTAAAAATATCTGAAGCGGACATTTTTCCTCGTGTTGAACATCTTTAAACAAACATCTGACCCTGCGCAGGAAAGACTAACCTCATCATCCAACGTCCTCTCTGGAGCTTTGCTGTCCTCCTCTACTTCTTCTTCCTCCTCCTCTTCTTCTTCTTCTTCATCATCCCCTTCAAGATCCTCTGCTCCTGCTCCACTGTCCTCCAGCTCCTCTTCCTCTTTTGCTTTAAAAGACAAACAGGAAAAGGTGGTGAGGATGAAGATGAGATCCTCTGCTGGACCCAGAGCTGACAGGTGAATGTCAAACCTGCAGCTGGAGCTTCCACTGTAGCTTCAGCTGCTTTGTCTTCCTCATCTGCTCCTTCCTCCTCCTCTTCCTCCTCCTCCTCCTCTATATCATCGCGGGGCAGATCTGCTTTTTTGTAGACGTAGTCATCCGATTTCTGCAGACGGTTTCAGTGAGGTTAGTTAAGGAGAATCTGGGACAGTTAACCGGAGTGTTCGATGAAGATCTTGGTACCTTCGGCCAGCAGAAGAGCACAGCCAGTCCGATGGGCAGGCCCACGGTCAGGATGTAGATCACCCACAGCCACGGTCGCTCCTCTGCCGCCATCAGCAGCTGAGCAAAAATCCCTGGCTGGTGAGATGAAGAGATCAAACGGTTTATTTAAAACCTTTTTCCCTGCACCTCAAACATCCCACATGTTCTGTTCAGCCATCGTTAGGCAGCGCACTGACCTCGTTAGCGCTGGCCACCAGTTTCTTCAGCCCCCAGCTGTCAGCGGCCCAGCGGTCAGCCACCTCCTTGTGAGACGTGATGATAAAGTTGTCAAAGTAGATGTCGGAGGTCATCGACCACAGCTCCAGTCCCAGAGCTTTGAAGGACGTCATCCTGAACGGATGCAGGTCCTCGAAATAGTCAGGGTTATTGATCTTCTGCGGCTTCCAGACTCCCTAGAGAAAAGACAAAGAAAAGGGACGATGCGATCACAGGACAAGGAGCTGAACACGTCCTTCGCTGCAGCGCAAACACTGGAGGAGTTCCACGTACTGTCAGGGTACGTTTGTCAAGGGTCGACGCTACACCAGAATTTCCAACCATAACACCACCAAACAAAAAGAAAAGGGTTTTTACTAAGTTCACATTTTGAGATGCATCTTTTTTTGTGTGCCTATAATTTAAGCTTATGACTAGGCCTGTCGCGATAAACAATAAATCAATTAATCGCATGATAAATGGAAATTATCGACCTCATTTTAATTTATCAGCTTTATCATTTCTTCGTGTCTCTCTCTTTCTACTGAAGACACTGGATGACAAAGGATCAACTGACCCCTCCCTATCTCTTTAAAATCCATTTTAACCGTCCGAAATCATGCTACACTACGAGCTAAGCTAACAGGCCGACCTCGGGGAAAAAAAACCTCCGTCTTTTCGAAGCTCCAAAATTCACGGTTGAAACCCGTGCCTTCGTCTTAAAAGTTTTTACTCTGAAAAAAAAAAAGCTGAGAACGTGTTTAATGATTTTTTTATTAAAAGCTTTGTGTGACCAATGCTATGCTAAACAGCCCAAACCACACGAAGCGTCTGCCATTTTGAGAACTGAAAAAAGGAAGGAGAGACATCACGTTAAGGGGCCTCCCTCCCATTTCTCTTAGACATGCTGCTTGCTCTCTCACTATCCATCCTTCGGTTCAAACAGTCTTCTACTGCCGTCCAGTGGTCAAAAAAAGGTATTACACTCAAAACAAATACAAAATTTCTTCTTAAATTTGATAATAATGACTAATTATTGTAAAATTTCAAACAATATTATCGTTTATCGCAATAATTTCTGAGACAATCGCGCAGCAAAATTTGTTATTGTGACAAGCCTTCTTATAAATGTTGGACCACAGAGAGCAGAATATCTAGTTTTGAAGTTACTTTGAATATTTCTAACACGCCGCTGACAGCTCACAGTGTGTTGTGATGGAAACAACAGAGCCGCACAAGAATTCAAACTTTGTCGTTACCTGATAGTTGGGATTGTCGATGAGAAGGGCTTTCCACTTGCCCTTGTACTGAGGGTTGTTGATCATGGGGCGCTTCCACTCCCCGCAGCCAGGAGCCGTCTCACAGGCCGGGTTGGGAACCTGCGGGGCCTCCCACTCGCCATCCATCTCCTCGTCCCTGCAAACACAGAACGGCGCTCGGTGAAAAGCTGTCATCGGGACAGAGCATCATTTGATGCATTAAAACAAACGAGCCTCAGATTCACAGGCTGGTTTGGTCTGAGCACCTACCAGTCTTCGGGTTTTTCAGCGTTTGGATCAGAGACAAACTCTGGCTCATCGTCCAGCCAGCCTTCTGGCTTCAGCGCGTCAGGATCCTCAACCTTTGCAGGCGCATCTTCATCCCTGAAGAGACAAACGCACTAAATATTTAAAAGCTGGAAAACCTTATCCACAAACGACAACAAAACAAAAAACTAAAGGCGGCATCATCTGTGTTTGTTTAAATCAGGTCTCTCTTGTAAACGAGCCCTCGTGGCTCAATGAGACTAACCTGTAGAAATAAAGGTTGAATGAAAAAAGGCAAAAAAATAAAATAAAACTAAGATAAAACAAAACTATAGCTGAAGGCCAAACTAAGCACAATTGTAGTTAAAAGCTAAACACAGCAAAATCATAGCTAAATGCTAAAAAGCTAAACCATATTTAAAAGCAAAAATGAGCAAAAGTGTAGGTAAAGCTAAATACAATGCAGTTATTAACTAAAACAAAACAAAGGCATGCATGCAAGTACGCTGAAGTAGATTTCATAGAAAAACTTCTCTGTATGTATTAATATGAGGAATTTTATTTTAAATAAAAGTTAAATATTTAGAAAATTATAAAAATGACAAAAACCATCAGCCAGAGCGCACGACTCCTGGTCACGGTTAACGCATCACAAAATATGTGAAAACAGTTTGCAAGAAACTATAAACAGGAGAAAAAACATCCATCCATCCATCCATCCATTATCTTTACCCGTTTATTCCATTTTGGGTCACGGGGGTCGCTGGTGCCCATGTCCAGCAATCACTGTGCGAGGGGCGGGGTACACCCTGGACGGGTCGCAAGTCCATCACAGGGCCACATAGAGACAAACGAGACAAACAACCATTCACTCTCTCACTCACACCTAGGGACAATTTAGAGTTACCAATCAGTCTAACGCATGTTTTTGGTCTGTAGGAGGAAACCGGAGTACCCGGAGAAAACCCTCGCATGCACGGAGAGAACATGCAAACTCCACCCAGAAAGGCCCCTGGACCGGGGTTTGAACCAAGGACCTGCTCGCTGAGTGGCAGCAGCTCTACCAGTTGCGCCACCGTGCTGCCCGGAGAAAAAACAAACAAACAAACAAACAAAAAAAAAAACAGCAGGAATGCTGACTCAGCAAATAAAACACACTTCACCCGGCTCTGGTTATCGTTCGTTAACACTTCCACCCTCACGCCGTCTGCTGGGTTTGATGCTCACCAGTCGTCAGGTTTCGCAGCCTCCGGGTCGGGGATCTTGGCCCTCTCGTCCCAGTCGTCTGGCTTGGCATCTTTCGGGTCGTCGATCTCCTTCGGCGGGTTGACTGGAGGCACCACGTCGTGCAGCAGGTTCCCGCGGCTAACGCTCGACTGATCGATGAACATCTCGTAGCTGTTGTCTGGGTTCAGGACTGACAGCAGACAAACGTAAGAGAACAGAGAACGCTCCTGAGCGAACGCTCGTTTCCTGTCGGCTGCATACCCAGCGTGTACAGGTGGGTTTTCTTGTCCGTGTAGAACTTCTTGAGGTCCACATCAGCCCTCTTGGCGTGCTTCTCCTCCAAGTCTCTGTTCAGAGGATTCTTGTGGCGGAAGATGAAGTGCAGCTTGTAGTCCTCGCCGCACTTGTCCGGTCCGAACATGATGGTGTAAGGCGTGCGGTCATGAAACTGATCCTGACGTGGAGAACAGGCACAACTAGAACCGTATCTGAAGACATGATGGGTTAACCACGGTGGCCACGAGGTTCACTGCAACAGGTACTCATGAGTTGTGACGTTTACTTTCTGAGCTTCGTTTAAATCCAGCGGCTCAGAGGATATTTTGCTAACAGTGTCTGCTTGTGATAAAGGTTTAAACGAAGAACGGCAGAATCTTTTATCAGTCAGAGTGCGTGTTGGGAATCAAACACCAAACCGTTGTCTAAAAAGGACCAAGTTTGTTCTTTCTTGTAATAGCGGAGGCGGCCATTTTGGATTTTGAACCAAGCGCCAGGCCAACTGTTAAAACTGGGAGTGAACTGGTAGTTACATGTAGGTTCACACCAGCTCAACATCTCTATAACCAGTTGCCATTTATTTTGTTTTACAACAGCTGTGGCGGCCATTTTGAATGAGCTAGACCCATGTCATTGATCAGTCAAAGACGCCTTCAATGATAACTTTGAGAGAGTCAATCATTTCTGTCCGGTGGTTCATGAGATGTTTTAAATAACGTTTTAACAGGATGGGATCTCAGTGCAGTCCTTTAGTTTCTCTCCGGGTCGTTTAAGTGCACGTGTTGTGGCTGAGCCACTCGTTTTGATTTACATGTGTGGGCGCACCATGTCTTTCAGGCAGAAATAAAGTTAACGGAAAAAATATAAATAAATAGTTGACTCACGGCAGAAACCAGTTTGGACGGTAAAAGGTGCTGCTGTTGAAACGCATCGCGATCAAATCTAAAGGTGATTTATTTTTACACATCATTTTAAAACATTCCCTCATTCACCTGTTAGAACCCTAAACATCTGTCTCGTTAGGTTTTAGAATTAGATAAACAACTTCAAAACTTTAAAACCTTACATGCAAACCTTGGAGCTAAAACGTAAAGTAAAGCTAGTTAGTGTTGAGCCCTCCCTCTGGACACCGTGCTGATGTTTTAAAGAACGGAGTCGTTATAAATAAACGTTTAAACCAACCAGATTGAGATTTCCGGCGTCTGAGAGGAGTTTGATGTATGCTCCGCCACAGTCGATGCCGTCCTGGAAATTCACCTCGTACCTGCGGTCAGAACACAAAACGGTCGGGCCCGGTCTGCTCTCTGATAGCAACATCAGTGTCTGTGCACGAGGCCACTCACTGAACGACCAGAGGCTTATCCTTGAAGACAAAAGGTTTGTCCAGCATCGCAGCGATGGCGTGATGCTTGGCGTGGGACTTCAGCACCAGACCCTGGTCTCCTGGAACCTTGTTCTCCTTTAGCGGCTCCACAGCCCATTTTCCTACAGTCAAACAGGACAGGGACCAAAAAAAAAAAAACACACAGAACAAAGAAAGTGAAGTCATAAATACATTAAAGACCTAAAATTATTAATAATAAAAAATATACAAATCACTTTTCATAGATTTGACTTGGAATAAGCTTGTGCTGAAAAATGACAGAGTTACAGCCGCTTTGATCAAACCTAGAAAATAATGCAGGAGTGTTACATCTTACAACATCTGACAGAGCTCAAAGTATGTGTTATGGATAACTATCAGATACTACCATGTCAAATTTTAGCTCAATATCTGTAAATTTGGCCGAGTTATAGCTATTTTGTATTTGTAAGGCCAGTTAGCTGTGGCAGCCATTTTGATTTAGGTTGACTCCCAACGCCATTTATTCAATAATTACTTTTTGAGAGTTTCATTCAATCCCATAATTTGGTTCAAGAGATATTTTGCTAACAGAACAGACAATATAAATGCTTGCCTACCACCTTTCGGTGGTGGTCATTTTAAAACACAGCAACGAACCGTCGTATTTGGCGATGTCATCATCTGCATCCTCCTTTGTTGTTTTTGACTGCTGCCACCTGCAGAGGGCGACGTCACAAAACGTCTCACTTTCAGTGCTCATTACACAAATGATACGGAACTGTTGGAGCGTTTGGGTCGTACCGGTCCAGCAATCCGTCATCAAAAGTCTCAGCAAAGTAAACGTCTCCGGTAGGAACTGGAGTCTTGTAAGTTACCTGGGAGGCATCAAGACATCCAAACGTTAACTAGGCCTGTCACAATAACAAATTTTGCTGGGTGATTAATTGTCTCAGAAATTATTGTGACAAACAATAATATTGTTTGAAATTTGACAATAATTAGTAATTATTGACAAATTTAAGAAGAAATTTTGGTTAATTTGTTTTGAGTGTAGTACCTTTTTTGACCACCGAATGGCAGTATAAGACTGTTTGAACCGAAGGATGGATAGTGAGGGAGCGAGCAGAGTGTCTCTAAGAAAAATGGGAGGGAGGCCCCTTGACGTGACATGGGCTGTCTCTCTTCGGTTCTCAAAATGGCGGACGCTCTGTGTGGTTTGAGCTCTTTAGCGTAGCATTTTTCACACAAAGCTTTTAATAAAAATAAAAATAAATCGGTAAACAAGTTCTCAGCTTCTTTTTGCAGAGAAAAACAACTTTTTAGACGAAGGCACGGGTTTCAACCGTGAATTTTTGGAGCTTCGACAAGACGGAGGTTTTTCCCCCGAGGTCGGCCTGTTAGCTTAGCTCGAAGCTTAGCTTCTCAGCTTAGCTGCTTTTAACGATCCAAAAATGCGATTTTGGACGGTTTGAACTGATTTTAAAGAGAAAAGAGAAAGGGAGGGGTCAGTGAAGAGCACCGGAGTTGAGCCTTTTGTCATCCAGTGTCTTCAGTAGAAAGAGAGAGACACGAAGAAACGATAAAGCTGATAAATGAAAATGATAATTTTCATTTATCGTGCGATTAATTGATTTATTGTTTATCGTGACAGGCCTAACGTTAACATTTTACATCTCAAGTGTAAAAAGCTTTAAAGTTTGTCCCGTTTCTGACCTGGAAGGTGACGTTGGCATCAGAACCCGTCTGGTCCGCTTCATCAGACTGATCATCATCCGCCACCGTTGCTTCCTCCTCGTCCTCGTCCTCCCCCATCAGAACCTTCAGCTCCTCCTCGTCCAAACCCAAGTCATCGTCCGAGACGTCCCCCTCCCACTGGTTCTCGTGAGCCGCCACGACCGCCCCGGTCAGCAAGGACAGGAGCAGCAGGCGCCACACCCAGCCCCCACCCAACTTCATCTGAGGAGGGGGAGGACAGTGTGGGATAAGTAATAAGCAGAGGGTGAGTGGGGGGAATTATTTGTGGTAAGATGAGGCGTTGCTTCTAAAAATAGAAACACAGGAGTGTGAAATGATGAGTGTGAGGGATGGATGGAGGTGAACCGTGTCCTCAATACACCGATCTTTGTTTCAGAGTGAACGCTCGTTCACCGTATTTCTATTTTCTTCTGTACATTTATTGTAATCCAACTACTTCTGCATACTTTGTGCTTTTAGCCATTCATATATCAAAACGTTCAGCTCAGTTGATGGGTGATTTATATTTTGTGCTTCTTAAAATTATCTTAATTTATGAATATTTTCCTCATGCAGGTGCGTCTAAAAAATTAGAATATCGTAAAAGTTTAATTTTATTCGTCAATCATCTAAAAGTTAAACTCATATAAATTCATTACGCAGACTGAAATACTTCAAACATTTATTTCATGTAATTTAGATGATTATGGATAATAAATAATGAAAAAACTAAATTTAGTGTCTTGGAAAAATTACAATATTGTTAAGAGGTTCAATATTGTGCACTCCTGGTGTCACACCCTAATCAGCTGATTAACTCGTGGACATGAGCTACAAATGTCTCATTCCTTGAGTCGAGCCACTCAGGAACGTCCTGCCTGGGCTGAGGAGAATTTGTTTCATAAAGTTAAAAAATTAATACAAATAAAAGGCTTTTAAACATAAAATAAAATCCTGACTGACGCGGTTAAATTTTATTTTGTTCCTGAACTTAAACTGATAAAATGAGCTACTTACAACTTTAATCACAGAGAAGAAGCACACGATGACTACGGTATTCATCTTCATCAAACAATTAAAAACAATTAGAAAACATGATGTTTCTGTTCATTTCAGCTGGCTGATTAAAAAAAAACACTTTTGGCTTAATCGCATTTACCGGTCAGCTCAACCATTAGTTTACTAAATTGAAGACAGAAATTAGTTAAAAATTCACCTAAATGACTAAAGTGTCCAGATAAATAAAAAAAAAAAAAAAGATCACTGGAAGGTGTTTTATTAAATCCAGGTCAAAATGTAATTTATAAACTTGCTTTGCTAATTATTTTTGAACTCTCAGTCATCAATGAATAAACTTGTCAGCTACACAGCGGACATTCACAAACAACGGTGTTTAAAAACATAAACTGGGATTAAAATTTAGGGTAACAACGCACAGAAAGAAACAAAAACTGATTCGTGAAGCAAATTGTCATTACAGTACTGTGGTCATGCTCCACACTGGGTAGTTTAACCATCACTGAAACAAATGTTAGGAATAATGTGATCACATGGTTCAGTGGTGGCAGAAAAACGCCCAACAGGCACATGAACTGAGAACAGCAGATTACTTTAATATTTGATTGCTACCATAGTAACACATCAGTTATATACCCTACTACACTACTTTAATAATATGTAATTAACAATTTCTAAAAGGTCATTCCTCTCAGAATACATAGTTTTACTATCCCAAGTCAACTCTTCATGGATTTCTGTTGAAGAAATTGACATTTATTTATGTTGTAGACATTTTAACATAGGTTTAAAATATTTGTTTAGGTTTCTTAAGACACATTCCAAAACATTGTGGGTATTTGTCTTTTTTAAAAAAAGACTCATTGCAAAAAATAAAAGGTTTATCCCCAACTGTGTCAGATGGTGCTTAAAGGAAATCACTCCAGTAGTTTTCCAGATATTTTCTGAAATGTGGGTATGCTTTCGATGTAAACAAAGTATTTGGCTTAATTCTCAAAAAAACAAACAAACAAACGTGGTGAGTCTGACCAACATTCAGCTGGTTATAGTCTGAGCAGGTAAACAAATGTGGCTGGAAATTCAACCATTTTTCAGTCACTTCTGCTGTTTCTGTAGGTAAATAATTGGCATCTGGATACAAATTTGGATCACAAATTTTAATTAAAGGAAGAGTTAACCATTGATATGTAAACAGAATGTCAAATTATGTAATAGTTTGTCTATTAGGGCTTTAAAAATGTCTATTAGTAAAACATATAATACAAATCCAACTATTATCAATTAGTTTTTGAGAGGTATTGAGTGCAGTTTTTGTCTTATTTGTGTGACAGACTCTGTGACCTTCAAAGCATAATATTAAAGCTCTGACCTTGCAATAAGTTATTAAAATTCCACAAATCCTTCCGAGTTACCGGGTAGTTCAGTTTAACTTCTTTGGTGGATGACCTAGTTGTGTTTAATCATGTTAAGCTCATATATGACACAACAACACAGTAGAGCAAAAACAAACACACAGATCAGACTTCCGGCTAAAGCTAAACTTCAGTAGTAAACAAACCAGGCGCTGAGAAAACGAGACTAATTGATATAATAATAATAAATAAAAAAAAAGTCAAAAACATACATTCATTCTACGTAATCTGAATGCTACATGAGCACGGTCACCAGAAGAAAAAAAAAGCTCACATGTATGGAGCTAACTGGGCAACAATAATGGACCGTTCGGGCTGCAGCACCTGCTCCAGAGGCTAACGCTAGTTAGCTAGCTAGCAGTGATGGCGCGCCAGTCGCAAACAGTAAACGTTTAGCTTATCGGATAAACCAGACGGCTTTAACCGGGTTACCTGCTAGTTTAACACACACTGAAGCTAAGGATTGAAGCTGTGAGGCTCTAATTTAAAGTAAAACATGACCGGGAAATGTTTTGTTTGTCGGTAAAAAATGAATGGATAGCAGCTAACTTGTTAGCGCTGAATGTCGCACTGGGAGAGATGCATCGCGCACTCATTCAGACCACACAAAAACAAACCTTGCGCGTCCTTCTTACTGCAGCAAACTTATTTTATAAACCGTCTCTCTGTGTTGAAATCCCGTGCAGTTGTCCCACTGAGATTCACCAAGGAAGAGTTGGAGGGAGGGGGGGAAAAAAACCAGGAGATCTGAGTGGGTGAATGACAGCCTGGCCTGGATAACGGTGCTGTAGCTGAGCATGCGCAATGGCCGCTGACGGAGCGTCTGTGATGCGTTCAGGAGCAGAAGAAACCAACAGGTTAAAACGAGAGGAAAAAAAATAAAAATAACATGACGAGGCAAGATTACACTGTATTTATATAACCTACAGAGCATCACTAGTAAAACAGCCAATGTAAGTAAATAAACACCTAAAATATTTTTAAAGCTGTTCTTTGAAAATAAATGAAAAATCCTTGCCTTAAACCTGACCCATTGTAACAATAACCACTGAAAATAATCACGAATGCATCTGCCTTACACTTTATTTTTGATTGTCTATCTATCTATCTATCTATCTATCTATCTATCTATCTATCTATCTATCTATCTATCTATCTATCTATCTATCTATCTATCTATCTATCTATCTATCTATCTATCTATCTATCTATCTATCTATCTATCTATCCAATT